GCCATATCACCAACTGTTTCCAGTCATTGGTTTTTACCGTCCCGAAGACCCCCTAACCAGTCAGGAAGTCTACATCTTCCTACCTGACTGGCTTAAACAAACTGTTGTCGATTTCATTGACTGGTGCCATGTTTTGGTTTGACCCCTGCTAGCTCTTTTCCAGCCTGACCCTATATCAGCTAACATTGCCTGTTGTCGAGGAAGGCAGTGACTAGTCAAACGCGACACATGTCCTAACCATCTCAGTCGATCTAATTTCACAGCCTTGTTGATTGATTTCCCCTCGTTACCTAGAACTCGACCGAGGCCTTACCTCAATATTGCTCTTCTTATTATAACGCTTCACATGGGAGGCAGAGCGCAGGCACCTATGATCAAAGACAGCTAATCTTTTCATGTCTTCCACTCTCAATGGCCAGGTCTCACATCTGGCCATAAAGGAAGACAGAGCGGACTGATGAGTAGTACACACGCCCTTTGGTTGATAGCCAGTCGGATATCACGTCTACGCCAGAGACGGCGTAAACTGGCATATGCGAAGCTAGCCCTCTGTGTCCGTGTTGCTGATGACTCACAGAGTTTCTTTTTCTGGTTAAGTTCATCCAATTATTTGTACCATATTACTATTTAATCATAGAAATAAAAAGATGCAAATCTCATATTGGAATTTACTCAACCTAATAATCTACAATAGTCAGTCTTATTATTATTATGTTGTTTACAAGTATCTAACAATGAAGGTGAATATAGTACAAGGTTGAATTACACTCTCATAACAAAACAAGACCATTATTTCTATTGTATCATGGGAACAGTTATAATACAGTCTATAAGACAGACTAAAAACCAGATGTCGGATATTTAAGAATTACGTAAACACATTAAGTAAAATAAAAATATTGTTGTTATTGTTATTATTCAAGAGGATGACTACGATGTTATTCTTTGTAACTACACTTAAGTTAAAGTGTACGTAGAATGAAATGCTTTTATTTGCAATCAATGTTTGATCAGTTAAGAAAAACAAATACATGCCAAGTTATATTGCGAAAAATAACAGTTGTATCACTTTATTATGCAAAACAATTTATACTACTGAAGCATTATTAAGTAGTTTGATTATGCATTGATTCTTGTCAGAGAACTCATAAAAGCCAGGGACTATTTTGTAATAAATGTTCATGAAGCCAAATAGAATCGAACCCTGCGTCTTCAGAATACAAGGCAATTCCGTTGTCCATTCAGCAACGGGGATGGGACCCGTCACTCTACGAATTATGACTTCTGCTAATTCGCGACATATGGCGCCAATGTGTTTAGTAAGTATCTGGTCCTTCTATCCAACCTGGTCAACCCCGCCAGTCACGACTTCCTACTAACTGAAATCGGTTCGTAGTCGAACTTGAAACCAATCAAATTCCTGCAAAACAACACTTGGAAAGTATAATTTGTTTTAGAATAGGTTTCATTTAATTTTTTAGTATATTTAAGCCTATTAAACCTTTATTCATTCTTCGTTTACATCAAGTATATCTCACACTTTTGGTTTATGACATCAACTATAAATATATATGAATCAAGAGCAAAATTGCATATGATATGTAGTTAATCAAATCCACAGTCCTAGGTGAATTTTAAGGCACCGTATTGGTAAGTCACCTAGAGTGGTGGCCACATTGCAAACGTGACTGACAGAACCCAGCCTGCACCGACATCAAGGATTAGACGCGTGGCTATCTAGTATCTAGTCAGAGTAACCACAGATTCGATGATGTTGGATAGTTGGAGGCAATCGGCAGAAAGCCTTGGACCTCGTGATGGCGAGCTATCTAGAATGATGGCCAGATTGCAAAAATTGACTGGTAGAATTCAGTCGGCACCAAAGAAAAGACTAGACACGTCACATTAGTTACTAGTGTCCAATCAAAATAACCCCAGTTTCCTTTGGAAAGCGAAGTTATTCAGGTCACTATATGCGATCACCTAGACAGCATAAATGGCTATAGAGGAAAAAAATATAAATGCATTTATGAAACCGTCGTATGGTGTTTAGATCACTCGATCTAGTTCACAAGGATTACTGGTTGATGTAAGTGCTATCTGACTACTTATTTCAGTCAGTCAGTAGCATATAGCACTAAGAATAAGATATGCAGGTTTGTTTAGTTAGATAACAGTAGTTTGAATAATTTAGCATTGGTTTCATTCATCTGGACTACAGATTCCATAAAGTCTAACCTAGAAAGCTAAACACATTAGATTCGAATAGACTCGTGTATCACATTGTTTTGATATGATTATGAGTGGCAATAATTTGTGCTCGAACGCAGTCATCAGTTAACATTACTGTACAACACCGTGTGATTTTATCAAAATAAAATCTTATCCATAGTGGAGTTGTACTGTATTACAGTGTCCAAGTTTTATACCTTTTTTTAAAATTATTGGTCAAATATACCACTGACATTTTTAGCTTACGTGAACTAATCTCAAGATTTGATCGTATGGTTTCTGAGATACTAAATGAACAGGTATGCTAAACTAGGTTTATTTTCAGAGCTATAAGCTATTTCAAGGTTTTCAACAGAAGGGTGTAGTTTGCTTATTGAAATAAATTGTTACTCTACAACAATTAAGCACTGTACTTTTCTAAGCTACAATTTAAGGCCTGACTCTATAATTTTAGACAAACACAGTATTTCCAAATCACTTTGTTCAAATTTGCCAACACTTGGAATCTTTGACTACCGACCAATGAATCCTAAGTGTTTCATCTACAGGAGTTGATTACATATGGAACAACAGAAGACAAGGGCCACGCAGCAGATCGTTTATTTAGGAAATCAACACATTAATATATTTTCATGTACATTATTATAGATTATTTTAAGCAAACAAACACAGTCTTCTGATTGGTGGTTTCTCACTGAAAGTTAATCTCTCATCTGTTTGTGTTGATTTCTTCAATGTCAGATCATATATATGCTAACTGCATCTGCCTACGCAAAGTCTGCTGTGGTTGGTTGTTGAATCAGTCATTGTTAACGACCAATATTTGGGACGTAAACATTGACGTAAATTACTGTCTACCAATTTGGCTAGCAGCCAGCTCTCATCACACATAGATTGTGTCCCAAATGTGCATCGGTGGTATAAATACTCGCCAACCTCGCCGCAAGTGGTCTGGAGTGCGATCCCCGGTCAAGGAACTCTTGAACCTTGTTTAGCCAGTAGTAAGCTTGATAAAGAGGGAAGGTTAGATGTGAAGCTAGCAATCCCAAACCATACAAAAATAAACAACACAAGCTTGAAGCTCTATGTTCCACTGGGAACACAAAGGGTTACAATAAGTTTTAAAAGTGTTCATAACATCATGTTATTTTCATCCTTTCGTCTTGATCCACTTCCTTGGTTCAGAATTTCAGCTAAAAAGTCATCTGCGACATTTTAATCTTCCCTCCGCCAATTCAAGCTTGTATACCCTCGCAATATCAAATCCTTCAGCTTACGCAGATACTGCGTACTAATTGGTACTACATTGTTCATATCTCCAAAATAGCTGATAATTGATGAAATACTCAGTACGGACGTCGATGATGCCCCTGGTGTCCACCCCTGACCGATAGCTGCTACCTTCACATGGTGGTCAGGCTTGTATATGGCAATGATCTAAGAAGCCACACTAGCTGGAATTAATGTTGCTGCAGATCCTGCCATGCCTGGAAGGTTGTTAGGATAGCGGTTAGACTAAAATCAGTTACCGACATAGTGTAAGGTATTCGCACTATGCTTGGGATCTGTGGAAAATGTCGTTCTGTTGGGGAACAGGGATGTCTGTCTGTTTTCGACATAGAACTTTGCACAAATGAACAGGGATGTAACAGAAGTAAGGTATTTCCCTCGGATGACCAAAATTCCAGTTATGCTACCTTCCCACTCTGGAGAAAGGGGATTGGTAAAGGTCGACTTCAAAAATTATACATCCATAGCCGGCGGTAATTTACTTAATATGGAAACAACTGTAAAAACCAACTCAAACAGGCCGTGTGTCGCTGGCCTCAAGCAGTTGTCCCTAGCGATCATGCAAAACTAATTCTCCTACTGGTTCAAGTACCCTAGTCAGTCAGTTAGTGTCCATCAAATGGCATTATCTATGATTTCCGAAAGATAACTGTTTGCTAATCAAGATAAGGAATTGCCAGTTAACATGGAAGACATCAAGTAGCATGTTTTGAATTACACACAAGTGAAATCCTAAAGTAATAACTTACAATAAATGTTGATGAGGATACTTTGCGACTGAAATACACGATAGACATCATTCAGAAAAGAATAAAACTAATCACAGTACTTCCCACATAACTTCTAACATTCTATCTATTAGCTGTGATATCTGACATTTTGTTACAGTGTACCTCGACAGTAAGATATGACTAAATATCTATTCTTCGAGACATTCAGTTTGGCTTGTACGTACACTGACACAGACAACCAACCAATATACTGATTGTGGAAAATCTCACGTTGTTTTTAAGTTCGGAAATACAAAACCAGAACACGAGGGAATACGAAAGTAAAAGCAGCAGATTATATTTCAAGTTATAAAAAAGAAGTACAATTACATCGAATATTCACAATACGGATTCCTGTAGAAGAAATCATATTCAAATCGATGAAGTTTCTTTCCATTCATAACCCCTGATCTAAGAATCATGATATCGGATACATTTCATGCCATACTTATTCATAAATATATATGCATTTACAAGATGATTATTAGGAGCAGCAATAAGTAAATGAACGGTCATTACATCTTCCAATCTTATCAGGAAAGCTTCCGAACCTACTTTTTTTCCAACTGCCTTTACTGCATATCATTACGCCAGCCAGATGTGTACATGATGAAATGAAGCATATGAGAGATTAAAGGGTTTAAAAATAGCATCCAGGATATTAAAAAAAGGAAAAGATTGCTAAAACCATCATCAAATATACAAACTTCATGCAGATACCGAATCAGTACTACTTGTTCGAGTTTGATTTGTTGAAAGTTGTCTGTAAGGCACATAGCTCCGTAATCGTTGGAATAAGGAGTTGCAACAAAACACTTCTCCATGTCTACTAAGAACAGGACGACTGTACAAAACTAGGCCAGTAAAGCAGGGGATAAGTGAAAGACCAGAATTCACAGCTGTAAAAACTCTCGTGACCAAATGTGAATTGGAAATCTAAAATTTATTGTTTAAAACAAAAAAGAAGAAAAGAAAAGAAATATTTTATTAGAGTTGATCATTTCCGATGGATTTACTTGTTTGTAAGTAAATGGGGCTTTTACAATATGGTAATATCAATGTGAATAAACCTTGGAAATACCACGGAACTTGCATATGTTAATAGTGGATAGACAAGTTACATAACAAACTCTTTGTTTCTGGCGTACATATACCGTCTAAACCAAAAAGCATGAAATAAAAAAACAATGACCTTAGTCTAGGCTACAAGAAGTTTATGGAAGACGTCATTTCGAGATAATCCTAGCTTGATTGTTAACTTCAACTGCTAAGCTTATGTGTGAGGTTTAACACTAACAGTCAGTTTTGATGAGAGGTCTTTACCAAGTGTTGGTTTGTAGGGATTTGATTAGTTACAGGATTGATCACAAGGAGTACTGGACAGTTGCTTTGCCTTAGTTTGGAACTGTTCAGCAGGACACACTCACTGAGATTCGAATCCAGGACCTTCCGGTCACAAGACGGGCTTGTAGACCATTCAACCAATAAGATCCAACTTCATGGTCCATGAATGTCAACTTCAGCAAATTCGTGACGTACTTAACACAAACGATAGCCAATATCACAGGCAAGTAACTGTGCTCTTGCCTGACTTAGCGGATCTGTAACACATTGGTTGGCGGTTGCGCTAAATATGTCACAAATTCGCGGGAGTTGGAATTCATGGGCCAATAAGTCGGGTCCAAGTGGCTGTTGAGTGTGGTCTTCCATCTGTTTTTGAGCATTTCTGAGATACAACCTCCTTTAGATGTCAACTGAATGCAGCGTCGGTGGCACAGCGGTTATGGCTCTCACAGACCATGCATATGGTTCGGGGTTCGATCCCCTGCCGATGCACACCTGATATCTATGATCGGCCTGCAAAATTTGGGCTACCGATATCACATGCTGAAAATTCCATACCTGTACCAAAAAAAAGGTGTAGAATCAAGCTTTAATCAGAAAAAGAGAGTTTTTTCCTCAGATGTCACTTTTTTCATCAACACTTATTCCCAAGCATCCTTGAAAATTAGTTTACATACCTATTTTCTACGAGAATGGACTTATGATTCAGTCTACCTTTAGAGTGAAGTTCCCCCCTTTGATGAAACGGCAATTCCTATTTGTAACTCACAGAGGATAGACTGTCGTTATCTCAGTATTTCCCTTGTTCAAGTCCTCTAGCGACTAATGCTTCCAGTCTCCTTCTGTTATTGTCTGACATATCCAAGATAGGCAGTGAAATGGTTGGATGTGTGTTGATCACTTCACTTATTTGAGAAGTTGCAACCCAACTCGAATGAGTAGACTAATAAAGAAATTTCAGTGAGTACCCAAAAACAAGCGTTTGAAATTTATCAACCTGTATCATCTTTGCCACCGGCGTTATATCCTGCCATCTATCAAAGGACGTATGTACTGCTCCTGTGCAGCACATCATTCTGTCCTTCTTTATGAATGTGAAGTATGGCATATGAAAGTAGATGTGGAGAAGTTAGTAGGTTTTCACAGATGAATTTCACCAATAACTTGCTTTAAGTAAAGCAACATGACAGATAATAATGAGGTCAGGATAGAGGGTGTTAAGTAAGAGGAGAAAGTCAATCAATGAGACTGTAAAGCTTCACTGTCTGAAGTGGCTAAGGTATTTCTTACGAGTGCTTAATTATCAATGAGTAATGTTAGCTAAAATAAGCTTAAGTTGGAAAAGGATTAAAGATGGTCACACACTGACTTAATTTGAGCAGTATAGTGTAGCCGTCTCTGGCGTAGATGTGATATCCGACTGGCTAACGACCAAAGGGCGTGTGTACTACTCATCAGTCCGCTCTGTCTTCCTTTATGGCCAGATGTGAGACCTGGCCATTGAGAGTGGAAGACATGAAAAGATTAGCTGTCTTTGATTATAGGTGCCTGCGCTCTGCCTCCCATGTGAAGCGGTATAATAAGAAGAGTAATATTGAGGTTAGGCCTCGGTCGAGTTCTAGGTAACGAGGGGAAATCAATCGACGAGGGTGTGAAATTACATCGACTGAGATGGTTAGGACATGTGTCGCGTTTGACTAGTCACTGCCTTCCTCGACAACAGGCAATGTTAGCTGACATAGGGTCAGGCTGGAAAAGAGCTAGCAGGGATCAAACCAAAACATGGCACCAGTCAATGAAATCGACAACAGTTTGTTTAAGCCAGTCAGGTAGGAAGATGTAGACTTCCTGACTGGTTAGGGGGTCCTCGGGACGGTAAAAACCAATGACTGGAAACAATTGGTGATATGGCTCAAACGCATCGTTCTCAATAGCGCAGATGCATCCACTCCTAGTAACTTATGATTTCCAATGAAACTATTTTGTTGTTCCTTTGTCTCGCACCTCTGTTTACTGTCTCTATTATGCATTTCTTCTACTTTATTCTCTTGTTTTGCGTGCTGCATGGAGTGTGGCGACTTGAACTGCCACATATCGATGCAAAGTTCTATGCCGAAAATAGATAGAACAGTGTAATTAGATTTAGACTACTTGATTATGTGCTAAACACCAGCAGTTAGAGACGTATGATGATATGATTCAGGAAAAGTTCAAAATGACTCATGCTGGAATTATTAACATATGAAATACCTGTTTCACTACGACCGATCCTAAACCGTCACACTTAATCTATAATGAAAGGTTTCTGCTGCCCTACGGACACCTAACTGAAGATCCCGTTTTACTCACGCTAGCAGCTATGTACAGCAGTGGCAGCACACCTTCGTGTAGTTCCTTCTCGATCTTAGTAACCTAACTATACAGTGCTACTGTAAATCACCAAAATTGTGAGTTAAGAGTGTAACACCTTCACAGTTTTGAGACAGATGATAATTGGAGACAACGTCAAACCAGTCTCAAGAAGAAGAAAAAAATCAATCAAGGAATGTTCAAATTAAAATTTCCTATAAAATATACTGGTTGAATTCATTTGACAGGTAATTTAAATCTTTGCTCAAACACTAATACACGCTTTTATGCCCAAGACAGCCGTACAGTCATTTCACATAAATTGAACTGAGTTCTGACAACCACTTCACTCATCGCAAGTCTTCTGTAGGTTTGATGATTATAACAGGCACTTCAAATGTTACTACAGGTGGAGTTTTACAACAATACATTAACGCAGGAATGGAGACCATTATTCCCCTTACCAAAAAGTACTTCATACAACCAAGTCACGATTTAGTGTCTTTGAAAGACAATTAATCACTATTTCCAATACTATCAAACATTTCAGGCAAATGGTTGAAACTGTCATCATTATTGCATTTACTAATCGCAAACTTCTCAAAAGATCAATTGATGCATATATATATATATATACTGAGATGTCAAATACACAAAGAAAAAGAAGAAGAGTGAAGATATTTCCCAAAGCTTTTAGGATGCAGTACTTTATAATCCTGTGTTTATCGCCTATCATCACGTATCATGTGAGGTAACGAATTTTCTCGAGGATACACGGTATCTTACATTTCCATGTTAGAGACACTATTGTAATATTCAGTAATCAGTATGTACGGCCCAACATGAATCGAAATTTGGAGTAGTCAGTTCAAACTTAGTTAACTTGTCGAGGATTAAGATAAAAACAGTATGAATGTAGTATGCTAAAGCTCTCCTAGCTTTCATTTAAATTCTTTTAAGGTAGTGGACAGAGACAGTGAATTAGTTATTTTGGGACGTACTGGCAGAGTAGTGGTAAATTATAATCCGTTTTAATTAAATAAGTGAAACCTGCTTTACTCTCAAAGCTCACAAGAAAATAGAAGCACATACCGCGACTAGTAGATGTGATGAATTAACCATTGAAAACTAACTTCTCAATATCGTTGGTGGAAGGACAAGGTTTGAAAGAAAACCTCGGTGGTCAATGTTATATCCAGAACCACTTTTATTAGAATCATTTTTATTGTTGACTTCAGGTCTCACCAATATTGTTACACTATATCTGAAGGGATTTATATTTCAGGAGTTGAACATCTCGATAAATTCACTAATGTTATGGGGCCTTCAGATTACCAAAAAAATTTACCTGTTTATGATGGCCATGGCAGGGACAGTGGTTGGACGTATTTCTTTTGGATACAAAGTGTGGGTTTAAGCTTTTGGATAGCTACCGCCTCAGCTATGCCCAGAGTCGCTAGCTATCCAAAAGCTCAAACCCACACTTTGTATCCAAAAGAAATACGTCCAACCACTGTCCCTGCCATGGCCATCATAAACAGGTAAGTTTTTTTAGTAATGACCATCCCATCGCCTTCAGATTAGTTAGTTGTATCCCCATTTTTCTGCAAATTACCGATTCACAAATTCAATTTTAATATTTCTTTAAAATATCTCATGCCTTGAAAATACACTTTCTGAACGCTACTCACTGTCTATTATAGACAAGTACTGTTTTTGTTGTCATGGTATGTTTTATTAACATGATTTCAGGATTATGTATGCGCGATGTACTGATTTTTCTAAATTTGACATGAACAAAAGATTATAATACTCAGCATTCTGTTATTTATGTATGATAGATAGCACGTTAATTCACAGATTTGAGTAGTGAATTATGTATGTGGAAACCATTTTTCATGTGTCGTAAGCATTTTATTGATATGTATTAGAGTACCACCTAATAGTGACCTTGAAATTGCATATTTGTTAGTATGCACAATTATTGATTTTTCTTTCTGTTTTAACTGAACATTGTGAATATTATAATCAAAAAAACCTTATACTATTTCAATTTGGCCATCGGTATTTTACACAGAAAGTGGATAAGAAACGTTTGTGGTGTTGCCGTTTCAGGAAAATAGACTCAAATAGACTCTGCATAGAAAAAAATTAACCTTTTCAAGTGAAATGGGAATGCTAATCAACTACCTATAAAATTACTGCTTCACTTTGTTCACACACACATTGGAATTTATTTTAAAGACAATAGAAGCATAATATACAATGGTAACTTACATCGTACGACGTATTGGATGAAAAATATCCACAAGAAATAGCAGCTATAAGGCAGCACCAATAGACAACAGTTAGAAGTAATATTAACCACAGTGATATGTAAAATCGTCGTAGCTAGAGAAAGAAAAGACTTTTTTAAGCAGAAATCCTTACCACTGGAATAAATATCAATAACAAAACCTAAACATAACTAGGAACGAAATACAACACTACACATTTTACAAGTGATTCTGATTTACTTTCATCTTTTCGTGGGAAAATGTGGATAAATATGAAGACGTAACAAGTTTGACTAGCTCCACTTTATATATGGTTTCGCATCTATCATTTCATTCCTTTGGATTCCCAGTGGAACATGCGAATTCAAGATTGAACTTTGAAGTTTCAGCAGCAGTGGTGTTTATTTTTTTGTTAGACTCACGCCCAACCTCCCCTCCCAACTGGGCTTACTACCGGTTAACCAATGTTAGGGTGTGTCGGCCAGGGATCGAACTGCAGACCACATGCGTGGTTGGCGAGTATGCTACCACTGAACCACCGACGCACATTACAAATCCAACGTAATGTTTGTTAGGGTATCGTTTGTTTACAATAGGACGGGAGAATTTATGTCAGTGTGAAGCAGTCTCTAGCATATGTTATGCAAACTGTTACAAGTGTAAGATCTCTCAAATCCGCTTATAAGTCCCACACAGTAAGTAGGTTGCAATGAAACGAAAGCCTAGACTCATTATGTCCCAATGGGATAATTGAATTCATAGCTTACCTTCATCTAAACTGTAATAGTATATTAATTTACTGACCTTATTTCCTTTTGTTTCGCCTGCATAGTCTTTTTGCTGGTTCACTTAATGAAATAATAAGGTGTGGTAATTTTGAATAGAATGCAGAAATGATGGATTTCAAGTAAATGATGACTGCTTAAATGGTAACCGTCACACTAGATGAGGTCTGTAGACATTTTTCCCTGAGTAAATGCCCTCATACTTATGAAAGTAGTGTGAGGAATAAACTAAATAGGATTATTAGATGCAAAGTAGAATTATGCGGGGCTCTACAAGATCCCAGAGATCATAGTCACTGTAACTTAGGCACACCACGAGTGGCAATCGTATGGCTTACATTGGCTGTCTCCGGTTTACAAGTAGATGGATTTAGTGAATTACACATATTAACAAAATATCATGCCGGATCGGCCGTGGCCCGGATTAACAACGACCGCGCTTCCTGCTGCCGAGTCACAGGGCAGGAGTGATACATATGCTACTGAGACACACAAAACAATAAAGAACAAACAAAAACAGGCCACGTGCTGCGCATGCCTAACCATCGCCTCCCCCGACGGGCATTACTAGCTGATATAGGTGCAGGTTGGAAAAGAATAAGTGGTGGCCAAACAAAAACATGGCCTCATCAATCCATGAAATCCTTGACAGTTAAACTGAGTCAGGTAGGAAGATGCAGACTTCCGGGTTGGGGCCCTCGGGACTCTAGGAATGAATGGCTGGAGACAATAGGTGACATGGCTCAAAATCGTTGTCAATAGCGCAGATGTATTCAGTCTCTGTAATCTTTCATATTCCTTTCTACCATTACCCATTCTGTTTCACTCTTATACTTATCAGACTGTATTGATTCTCTTCACTCATCTTCTTGTCTACCTCTGTGTGCTATTTGGAACGTGGCAACTCGAACTGCTGCACTTCGGTGCCAAGTTCTATGTTGAATCCAGACAGAGACAGAGAAAAAATTTCTATTAATGGCGATCTAGTCTTCAGTACAGTAAGGGTTGCTATCTAAGGAAAGACCTTTCACAGGTTCATTTACATGATCATTTACTGACTGCTGTTTCGCGCCAATTTTGTGAAACTTTTGAGGTTATAAGCTAATAGGTCTCAATAAGTGAGATTATTCACCACAACAGTAGTATTACAGACGCAATTTTTTATCCCACCATAATATAAACGCCTTCTGGTCGTTGTTGACACAATTATTGTGATTTACTCTAATGTAATATGTTTATTTATGGTAAATTCAATCTATTTTGCCTAATTAGGTAAAAAAAAACACTGCTATACAAAGTTGACTTAAGTTTTATCTTACTACATAGGATGAGTCAAGCGGTCTGTCTGTCTGGATTCAACATAGAACTTGGCACCGAAGTGCAGCAGTTCGAGTTGCCACGTTCCAAATAGCACACAGAGGTAGACAAGAAGATGAGTGAAGAGAATCAATACAGTCTGATAAGTATAAGAGTGAAACAGAATGGGTAATGGTAGAAAGGAATATGAAAGATTACAGAGACTGAATACATCTGCGCTATTGACAACGATTTTGAGCCATGTCACCTATTGTCTCCAGCCATTCATTCCTAGAGTCCCGAGGGCCCCAACCCGGAAGTCTGCATCTTCCTACCTGACTCAGTTTAACTGTCAAGGATTTCATGGATTGATGAGGCCATGTTTTTGTTTGGCCACCACTTATTCTTTTCCAACCTGCACCTATATCAGCTAGTAATGCCCGTCGGGGGAGGCGATGGTTAGGCATGCGCAGCACGTGACCTAACCATCTTATTTTTTATTTACAGCTTGATTCCACACTGTATTTTTGATACAAGTATGGAATTTTCAGCATGGATATTGGTAGCCCAAATTTTGCAGGCCAACCATAGATATCAGGTGTGCGCCGGCGTGGGCTCGAACCCCGGACCATGTGCATGGTCGGCGAGAGTCCTAACCACTGTGCCACCGACGCACAATCTCAATCTATGTTACTTCATAACCTCGTCGATTGATTTTCCCTCTTTGCCCAACACTACGCCTAACGTCAACATTACTTACCTTGTTAAACCACCTAACGTGAGACAGAGATCGCAGACATCTATGATCGAAAGCAGTCAACCTTTTCATGTCTTCAACGCGTATTGGCCATGTTTCAGAGCCATAGAGAAGGACGGAGCGAACTGATGAGCAGTACACGCGTCCCTTGGTTGATAGCAGGAGTCAAACGGCATATGTAATGAAGTTACAAATCTGGGACTCAAATCCATATCAGTGTTATATCACTTATATCTGCCAACAGTTGTATATGCTTATTTGAATCTTGTAGGCATAAGTTAGTTTGAAGTTATTATGGCGGAGAATTGACAAGCTTGGAAGTAATAACAGAAATCAAGTAACCGTCTGAATAAACAAAATCTTTCCGACAAATAATCTTCAGCACTGTTGATTCCGACTACATAAATATATACGCCTACCAAATCTTCCTAAAACAGCAATTCCAACAGCACAAAACCTGATACTTCCACTATTGCTAGAAAAATTCTTCAACCTACAGAGTTTGACTGCCAAGACACATGGCTTAATAATACATGATGAATTATTATGCAGAACGATTTCTCTTCGAAGAGCACTCATTGGACGGCAAAGTCCAACAATAGCGTCCCAAGAGATGCGAACGCACGAGTGACGTTCAGCCAGCCAATCATAAAAATCAGGAATTTCTGCACGAAAATGACGTATATTCACAAGAAAATGCATGAAAACACATTAAACGGATCATCTTTCTCTGGCATGACTTAAAAATACGTCCCAGTTACGATGAAGAGTATCAGTTGCTAAGTTGGACTAGTTTATGTGAATGTATTGACCAAAGTGACTGAAGATTGGCTGTTTTGAGAATCGTTTATCTCTCTTCTCTAGCTGTGTAGTCCTCTCTAAAGCCCTCTGTTAAGTCACTATGTTTTCGTAGGAGTATTGGCGACTATAGTCGTGGGCATGCCCACGTTTTTACCCACATATCCCAGGTCCAAAAAAAGTAACCGACTGGGTACATACAAGGAAAATGAGGATAATAAAACAAGTTGAAACAAACGATAAATATATTCCTAATCGCAACCCTAGCCTTAATCCTGACCCTAATCCTAAATTTCACACTAGCCCTAACCTTAATCCTAACCCAAATGACAATCCTTATCCTGCCGTAAATCTAACCCTAATCCCAATTATGACCGTAACCCTAACCCTAACCACAATACTCGCCTTAACCCTAATTTTAACCCTAACACACACTGTCCAAACAGTAATTAAAAGCGTTATCTGGGTGAAAATTGTTCCTTATTTGATGAATAGGGTTGATATTTCAGCTATGATAATGACAGGCACCTTTAGCCAACGACTAGCATGCGTTCAAGGTCATTTGAGCGTTTGCACTCTTGGGACGCTATTGTTGTACTTCACCCATTGGACTTCAAAGCTTTGATAAACAATGGCATAACGATACAACACAATAATGATGAATTTAACGGTGTCTAAACACTTAATAGTGAGCAATAAAGTGACATGGTGTTCTTTATGAATTTCACCAGCCTTCAAATACTAAGGAAATTATGGAGATGAAGCAATTTGAGGACTTATGAAACAAAGCAATGTCACTCATCAAATTTAAATACACATATATATTCTTCATTTATGTTTGTATACAAATGAAGTATAGGCTATGACTGTATATAGTGCATGCAGTCCAAAAACGGCTAAATACCAAAGGTTATTACTTACAGAAGTAAAACGTTCACTGATTACTGTGCGCAGAGCCATAGCTCCAGTAGATACAATCTAAAATAAGCTTTACAAAGAGCACACTTACTAGAACGCCAGTAAGAATGGGGAGACCATAGGCATTTGCTAAGCTGAACTCAAACGGATAATTTTTATTGTCTCGGGAATATAACGGGATTAAAAGGACATCTAGTAAGCCTGGAGATGGGTGAAAAAGGAAGTGCGAACTACCTAAGAAGGTACTGGCAAGTCCGAAAAATGCGAAGCAAAACCCCAGCAGTTGTAAGCCATTCATATACCTAACTAAGATGAATTCCCCAGATGGCATCAAAAGAAAACAATCTCTCATTTGTGAAATACGCATTTCGTGTGGCCTAGGATTCACCCATAAATCCTTCCGCAGAAAAGTCCTAAAGCCCTTATAGCGTAAATTTTAAATAGTCGCCAATCATATGTTCAATTGAACATTGCAAAGAGTTCAATATCCAATATCCAATATCGTTTTTACGAGCTAGTATAAACCAATTTGATTTCTTTGTGCTCGCCTCTTGATTGTGAGGTATAGGTTCTTGATCTTCGGTAAACTTCTGCGTAGCTTGCCCCTTGTCAAGGGGTATGTTGTATTGTCTTCTCTGTAAAAAAAAAAAAAATATAAAAAAGAAAAATTAAAAAAAAATAAGAAAAATCATTTAAGACAAAGCGCGTTTGTTTTTTCCCCTTTTTGGGGGTTAAGCCTTTTAGTTGATTGGCGGATTTAGATTCGGATGAAGATCCACTGCTTTGGCAGAAACTGTACAAATATTTTACACTGTGACCATCAACTTCAGACAAACATTCACAAGAACAGCTATTAACCTCCTGGTTTATTGAATCCATACGCGCACCTATCACTAATCAGATGCAACTAGTGAATGTAGGTTGATCGATGGACACTGAAGAACTTGAGAGGGTCAGAAGATAGCCAGTACTTGTATCAGTAATATATAAATGACAAGAGACCATCACGATAGTATGGCAAGGTAAAGAACTGTTCCAGTGTGTCAGCCACTCGAATAAGTATGAACCAGGCTGGTGAATGTATCGTCCATGGAAAAACAGAGTGCTGAGAGAAAAATTGCACGAAATGGAGTACAATAAAATGTGAAAGATAATGCCTTATTCTTTCACCCAAATTAGTTCGAGGCTCTTAAGGTTAATAGGGAGAGTGGCTATGTGCGTGGAATACTCGGAAATGGACCTGTAGCGATAGGTAATTCCCCAGAATAATTGGCCACACCAGTGACTGCAAGGTTAGTCGCGATTCTGAACCTTCCAGAGCCACAGACAGTGAAGAGTCTTCGCACTTTTAACGGCTTGGTAAGTTATCACCAACGCTTCATTCCTAATGGGCCTCGCTGATTCAGCCACTAACAGACTTCCTTCGAGGGAATAACAGGTCCATCGGACTTGACGTGTCTGCTCAAAATGCTTTCTCTCAGGTTAAAAAAGTCATCGCGAGTGTCACACTTCTTATGCGTCAGGTTCAACGGCACCGTTAAGTTTCTCGGTTGATGCATCAGACACTAGATTCGGTGCAGTTCTGCAACAACTAACCAACAGAGAGTGGCAACCGTTTGCCTTTTTCTCGAGGCGCCTACGATTATCAGAAACAAAGTACAGCACATTCGGTAGAGAAGTTCCGGCAATGGGCTGTGCTATACGTCATATTTGACATTCAGTAGAGGGTCGTGAATTTATAATTTTCACTGACCACAAAACTCTAACGTACAATGAAATCGACTTCAGATAAGTATTCGCTTAGAGAATCACGAAAACTGGACTACGTTTCACAGTTTACATCGGACATTCGCCACATATCTGGAGTGAACAACACTGTAGCAGATGCTCTGTCACGCATATGTTCCCTAACCCAAAGATACGACATAGACCTTCTGATACTTGCTCGTCTTCAAAAAGAAGAAACCTAGCTTCAACATGAGTTGTCGAAAACGGCACTGCAATTAGCTGAGAAACCCTTAGGTATGGGAAAAGATACTATTCTATGTGACATTTTCACGAGTACCATTCGCCCCGTCGTGTCTAAAAGTTGTCACCGTAACGTCTTCAATATGTTGCATGGCTTTTCCCACCCAGGTATTCCGACTACCATAAAGCTCGCAACAGTCAGTTTTGTCGGCCTATTATTGCTAAAGGAGTAACGGAATGGCCACACACATACTTAGCTTGTCAAAAGTGCAAAGTAATAAGACACACCAAAAACCTTCTTGGCACCTTTCTTCTCCCTAATGCTCGTTTGAAACAAATTCATGTAGGTTTGGTTGGACTCCTTCTAGAATCTCATGGATATACCTATATCTTAACCTTCATCGACCGTTTCACGCGATGGCCTGAAGCATTACCCCTCAGGGATGAATCTGCTGACACGATCGCAAGCATCTTTAATCGAACAACGAGTCGCAAGTTTTGGATGCCAACCCCCCATAACAACTGATCGCGGGTAGCAATTCGAAAGCGGCTTACTCTTCGCCCTGACTGAAATCATAGGTTGTAAGCGTTTTCGAACAACAGCCTACCATCGTCAAGCTAATAGTATTGTAGAGCGTCTACACAGACAGCTGAAGGCTGGATTATTAGCTGCAAACAATGCACATTGGACTGAATCACTACCGTTAGTTCTCCTAGGGATTCGAAACGCCTAGAAATCTTATGCCGGTTGTACTGCTGCCGAGCAAGTATATGGCACAACACTACAACTGCCAGGTGGGTTTTTTCTCCTTCTAGCTTCCCACCAGAGGTAGATCACGCCTCGTACGTCAGCAAGCTTACAAACGCGATGCGTTCAGTTAAACCTGATCCCCTTTCGACCACAGTTTGTAGACGTCTTTGCTAACCCGAGTTTCAAAAGTTCTTCAAATGTATTTCTTCGTCGGGACTCTGTGCGTCACCCTCTGGAACGCCCATATGACGGACCACATAAAGTCATTAAACGTATGGATAAATTCTTTGTCCTAGACAAAAATGGCCGTGAAAACCCTGTTAGCATCACCCATCGGAAACCGGCCTACTTAAGAGGCAATCTCATGAGCCTAGAACTTGGCATTCCCAAAAATACACGAGTAACCGAATATCCGTTAGTCCTAGAAGAAAACACTAGCACGGTAAAAGTCGCCGAACATACTATTGAGCCTTCGGAGAAAATGCGCTCTAGACGAAACGTGAGATTCCGGGAACATCTTCACACCTATGTCACATAACTAAGTGATGCGATTTACCCTGTTCTTATTCGCTTGTGGTATTCATCTTTCTCCTCTCAGATATATCAGTTTTTCAAATTGCATCCCGCAACACAAGCAAAAAACATTTTATGACCATACATGTTATATCCACTAAAAAAGATTAGATATACACTTTTTTCGACCTTCTGTTTTTCGCATTGCTTTTCTGTGTGGTAGATGCATATCATTATCCAGACACTAATTTTAATATATTTCCTTCGAAGGGCACTGGACACGAAGCAAATGAAACACGAGATACAAACATACAAACACAGCGATGTACGAATACCCAATATGCATAGGTAGAAGACCAGTAGGCACTACATCAAGCCGACTAGAAGAGTTCTAACGATGGGAACACCATTGGGTTTTTACTTCCGGCTGGCTTTGTATTAGAGTCGTCACAGCCCCACTAGGGGAGTTAGCTGTAGAGGTAGGCAATTCCCCAGTACTATTAGCCACAGCATTCATCAGGGAACACTGGATGCCAACCCCCACTGTTTTAGTCGATTTGTTTAGCTGGAAGCTTACGGTCAAGCAAACACACCGTTTGGCACGCTCTCGTGTCACGTTCGTTCGTGCGCGATTCCTAGCTAGTTAAGCAGTCATCTCTCAATCCGATTTGGTCACAGTAAGACTTGTCTGTTCATTTGTCCTACTGATGACCGTTTTTAATGCAAAGTGATTTGAGTCGCACATTAGAAAACTGAAAAATATTAAGTGATTACTTAAAGGTCAGTATAGCAGAATGAAAGATTTGAAAACCACTTCTGAGCAACTAATTTTTAGTACTACAACTTGTTTGAATTTTCCCGTCCTCCAAATCCGCTTCATTCTTTTGTCATTTCTTCGTCTTCTTTCCACTTACTTATTTACACCTATTAGTCGCAAACATTCTAAAGGACATTTTCCTGCATGATTGCATGGCTCTTTCAACTTCTTAATATTGTATGTTCACTATTCAATTCAGAGAACCCTTTTGTTACTGTGACACAATACAACACAAGTTAGTTACGAATAAACTGAGGAGAGTGGCTTTTACAATACTAATTCCGCGGAATTCATAAGTAAGTTCAGGAAGTGGGAAGTGAGAGTTTAGGAAAACAATCAATCAGGGTGCTTGCACAGATTCGAGATCGCCTCTAGTTGGCTTCAACTAGAAATAACACTCAGGATTTTTGTGTGGCTGTCAATCCTAATAGATCTAGCCACTCTACCTGTCGACTCTTTAGCCTGGCCTGCCTAACCTTGTGTCCAGGGTGCCCTTAAAACTGCCGCAGCTGGAAATGGTAAAGTACAAAGCTCACGGCTGCTGAATGATGTATTTGTTGACAATGACTTGCAGGGTTTACAAGTAGTTAATCGCACCGACGAAGCTGTTGAGCCACTGTCCCTAGAAAATAATATTTTCCACTCAGTCTTTCAATTCGCACGGATAAACGAATTGACCGTTGAGTGTAAAACTGCTGAGATCTGTTGCGCGCGTTGTCTGACTAAACTGCTGTACACATATATTCTATGTATTTCTTCGCTCTTATTGATGTGCGCAGACGTTGTGGCTACTCGACGCCCACAACGTAAATCAAAAGGCACTTGTGAAGAATACGAATATGTATTGAAGCAGTAGTCAAATTCGAAATTGTGTCAAGGTAATATTCAACAGTGAATGGACAAGTATTTGCGAAGTACATATAAAATCGGTCTGTATACACATATAATGCAAGTATACAAATTAGATTAAAAAGCATGTTTACAGTTGGTATAGGGGTACTACATAATTCCCCCACCAGAACACTAAATATATAAAAAAAATACATTTAAGTGTTCGAAAATAACATGCGTCAGCGTAATACGTAGCAGCGATAGTACACAGAAGGCGATTTATTAAGCTGAAAAATGAGCAGTTTAATGCGGTTAATAACGTCGATAATAAATGCGATAATCTAGGGAAAGTGGAATTGCTAATCGTAATAGAATATATAAGGAACGATAAAATTGTCCGGGGATCTGTAGTCGGTAGACGAAAACGATACGTGAATAATATACGAGATGTGATTAAATATAATAATATAGGAAATATCGATGTTAA